CCCCCCCCCCCCCCCCGCCCCCGGTCAGTCTTTCTGATGCCTCTGCACTAACCAGGATAGAAGGATGGAAATCCTCCAGAGCTCTTTGGATTTCTGCTGCCAAAGAACCCCCAAACCACAAGAAGAACCTGTAGGAAAGAGCCCCTGGGCACAGCAGGGGCCATCCTGCCCCAGCCCTAGGGAACCCAGACAGGCGCGTGGGGGGGTGCTCAAACTCCCTGAGATGCTGGTCACACTCCACCACTCAAAACTTGCCTGCTCCAAAACAGCCCTGTAGAAATCACACTGTGAGCCCTTTGTGTGACTTTACACTCTCTACCCACAGCAGAACAGCATATAGATGAAATGAAGACTAACACCATATTTTACATAACGCCAAACGCCATCACTTCAACAGATCTTTGACATGAAAAGTTATTAGTGAACTCCGAGCAGGACACACGACTTTTTCACACCCTGTCATCCTGGAAAGGAAAGACACACAGAGCAGAAAGACTAAGCCCTACCCCTACACCCCTAGAGTTCGTTCCTCCAAAAGAGACCACACAGCTACCCTTGAGGGGGACTCAGACTTTGGAAAGACTGAACACTGCAACGGAAACTGCTTCTCAGACTGTGGAGCTGTGCATGACTCAGTAAAGCCTGCAGTGGAAAGCTGTCAGTGACCTTAACCAGCATGACTTGAAAGAAGGGGGTCCAGTGGCACCTGTGGTGACCTCTGCAGGAGGCATATATGAGGGCCATTAACTTTTTGTAATAGATAACTAGTACTTTAATAATCATAAAATGTGATATTTATATTGTTTTTCTCATACCAAGTCTCTGAAATCCAAGTGTATCTCACACATATGCCACTTCTCAGTTCCCACCAGCCACAACTGCCGGACACCCTGGTATGCCTGGGGATCACTGTGCTGGTCAGCACAGGATAGGTGGAAAAGCTCTCTTGGAGCTCTCTGCTGGCCTGCAGCCCCTGGGAACTGATAGGTGCCCAGATGGCCTCAACTGTCCTGAACTGGATGAGGTCTTAGCCCACTGGGTGCTCCCAGGACAGCCAGGTCCACCCTACGGGGGAGCAGACTGAAGTCCAAGCCTAGGAGAGTGGGAGCTAAGCTTCCACGTGACCCGTGTCTCCGGGTCACTCAGTGACACCGGGTTCCTGGGATAAGTGCCCCGGGGAACCGAGCTGCCCTAGGCAGGGCGGCCAGGAGAGGGACCTCGGGGATACTCCCCCTCCTACTCTCCGCGCCGGACCTCTGGCCAGATGCTGGAAGCCGGCGGCGCCGGTCGAGGTGAAATGGGGCGGCGGGCGGCTGCGCAGGGCCAAGCGCCGCGGCTTCCCGGCGGAGTCCGCCCCGCGCCCGCCCCGCGCCCGCCCCGCGCCCGCACTCACGTCGTCCATGAGCAGCACCAGGATGTTGGGGGGCTGCCGAGCGCCGGCGGCCGCGATCCCCGCGGTGCTCAGCACCAGCAGCAGCCGCCACCCCTTCGTCGCTGCGGCAACCGCCCTCATGACAACCAAACCGGGGCCGCAGGGCCCAACCTGCCGGGAGAAACTTGGCAGAGGCCCGCGCCCCTTCCGGCCCAGCCGCCGGGCGGGGTGAGTGACGGGGCGAGGGGCGGGGCCCGCGCGGCGGCGTGCGGGGTGGGCGGGGCCAAGCCGCCGGGACCCCGCCCAGATGGGAGCTGTCTGAGTGACGGAAGGGGGCGGGGCCCACTCGGCGGAGTGCGGGGTGGGCGGGGCCGAGTGACGGGCGGGGGGCGGGGCCTGGCCGGCGATCACGTGATCCGCGCAGGGCCTCCCAAGATGGCGGTGTGCATCGCGGTGATCGCCAAGGAGGTGCGTGCCGCGGTTGCGGAGAGCGGCCCCCGCCCCGGCCCCCGCCCCGGCCCGCGCCCCCTCCGGCCTGACTTGTCCCCCCGGCGCCCGCCGAGCCGCGGGCCGRGCCGCCCGGAGTTGTGCGGTCCTCCTCCCGCAGCCTCTCCCCGCTTCCCGCTTTGCGACCCAGCCGCCTCTCCCCAGTCGGTTAGAGACAAAGCGGGTTCTGTTGCGCCGGTGTGGAAAAGCTGTCCCCGGCTCCCGGCGGCGTGGCGTGGCGTGGCGTCCCCCTCCCTTGCCACCTGTCCCTCCTCTCCCACGAGCCTGCCCGCCGCCCCACGCGGCCCTGCGCGCTCACCTTGGCCGCGGCCCTGGCAGCCCGCTGGCCGCGCGTTTCCTCCGGAAAGCTCTGTCTGAAGGCTTAGGAGCTCAGGCGACTTAGGTGCTCCTGCTTCCTGGCCATTCTTCTTGAGACTGGCTTCGGAGGTGGCAGGGACGTGGCCTCTCCAGGCTCTTGGCCAGCTTCCCTCTGAGCACACGCCACAGCTTAGCAGTGCTTAATAGGTGCTCCTACTTAGGGTGGCCTTCCTTCATACATCAAAGTCCATTTAATCTTTCTGTAAACTCATGGTGAAGTCCAGTGTTTCTTGTCGAGCCATTATGTGTCAGGGACTATTTTCTGATCTATTGATCCGTTACCAGTCAGGTATCAGTAGGTGTGAGCATACTTACTGTTCACCAGATGTCTACATTACCTTATGCTGGGCGGGTGTGAATTGTGGTCTGTGGGAGCCCAGGAAAGGTGCTTGTCTCTGAGGTCAGGCCGGCAGCAGTGCTGAGCTGAGGAGGCTGAGCCCAGTCTCCAAGGGCTTAGTGACAGGGCTCCTGTCCTTGCATGGTGTGGTAAAAACAGCTGGCATTCACGGTGCCATACTGGGAAGGCTCCACAGAGTGGAAGGTGGCCAGGACACAGTGAACCACAGGTGAGTGACCCACCCAGGTGACAGGGCCAGTTGTCAGGGGGCATTCAGGCCCCTTTTTATGGGTCCTTTCTGCCCACCCTGATGCTGTCCCATGGCATAAACTGCTTGTATTAGGTCAGGCCCCTGACATACCCACAACAGTGTGCAGAATTAAGCTGTGGATTTTAGGGTGAGAGCACATCTCCTAGGGGGGTTGGTAGGCCACAAGGCCACTCTCAGGGGGCTCTTTGGCACTAGTCAGAGCTGGCACAGGCTGGGTGGGTGCCTGCCCTTTCAGTTGCCACTGTCCTTTCTTGCAGAATTACCCCCTGTACATCCGCAGCACCCCCATGGAGAGTGAGCTGAAGTTCCACTACATGGTGCACACCTCCCTGGATGTGGTAGATGAGAAGATCTCCACCATGGGGAAGGCCCTGGTGGACCAGAGGGAGCTCTACCTGGGCCTGCTGTACCCAACAGAGGACTACAAGGTGTATCTTTTAGGATGCTGTTATCTCAGGGTGTGCTTGGGAAACACTTGAAAAAAAAAAGTGAGAGTTTCAGTTATCCAAGGAGATTGAGGGGCCTGAAGCTAACGAAGTCTTCCTTTTAATCTCCTTGTAATTGAAGATGCATTTGGGAAATGCTGGACTTGCACTCCTGGAAGACGGGGAAGACTGGGGGGCGGGTTTCCTTGCCCTGTACCAGCAGGGGCTGCCACCTTAGAGCAACAGGGATTTCATTGTTAGGTCCTGCCTCACGCACCACTGGATGCTCTTGACCTGAGGATAAGGTTGAGACAGCCCCTCAGGCGGTAATGCAGCTTGTGTACACCAGCATTGGCCTGGAAGCCGTGAGTTACACTAGGATATGACCTCTGGGGCAGCAGTGGGGGATTCACCTTATCTATTTGCAGCTGGCTTCCTGGGCCCAGTATTGCTTTATAAAGAGGGTTAGGCATCTCCAGTGCCCAGAAGGACTTGGGTCTGTGCATTGGTGGGGTTACGTGCCTCCAGCAGTCACCTTGGCACTCCAGGTGTGCAGTTTCCCACCTGCACTGTGCTGCGGGACCATCCTGGCCTGGGCACTTCCTGTGACTCAGGGTGTCTGGCTCCTCCAAGCAAGGATACCCAGAGGTCCCTTAGCTCATAGGCGCGTTTTAAAAGTGTGTGTTTATTTATTTATTTATTTTTGTGGTGCTGGGGATCGAACCCGGGGCCTGGTGCATGTGAGGCAAGCACTCCACCAACTGAGCTGTTGGTGTGGGGCTGGGCCAGTTGCTGTCATGCACCCCGTGTTAGAGCATGTTCCCTGACTCACTGTGCAGATACGGCTACGTGACCAACTCCAAGGTGAAGTTTGTCATGGTGGTGGATTCCTCCAACACAGCCCTTCGAGACAACGAAATCCGCAGTGTAGGTGCAGGGCTCTGAGGCCACGCCTGGGGGTCGTCTGGTATTCTCTTTCTCACTGAGTTGAAACCCTGGGAGGCCACAGGTCTGGCAGTGCCGTGTGTATGTTGGGTCTTGTTTCAGATGTTCCGGAAGCTGCATAACTCCTACACAGATGTGATGTGCAACCCCTTCTACAACCCTGGGGACCGCATCCAGTCCAGGTGGGCCGTGCTTCCCAGTCTCCTCTCTGTACAAGGCYTCCCTTGCTGGAAAGGCCAGCCTTGGAAGGTCAGGAGCCCTGTCCCCCCGAGGTCCACTTAAAGCAGCAAAACCCTGATCTCTGAACCAGCTCTGACAGATCTCCAGGTACAGAGCAGATGGAAGGAGGGGGCAGAACTTGCCCATTTGGTTTCCCAAGTGAGCCCCCAATTACCTGAGGCCCTTGGGGGAGTTAAGCAAAGGCCCAAGCTTATAGACACCTGTTCAGGGAGAAGATCTGCTGTGTCTTCGCCTGAACTGCTTTTCACGTTGAGCTGGGATGGTCAGGAACCTGGGTCACGGGTTTTGCGGGTTGCTCTCACATGGACAGACCTGGGGCGGGGTGGTGCAGTGGTGAGAGCACCTGCCTGGCAGGCACGAGGCCCAGGTTCAACCCCCAGTGCCACAGACAAGTAGAGCAACAAGTGAAAATACGCAAGGCTTGAGTGAACTTCAGGAAGGCACGCCATYGAGGAGCGCAGGGTTCATGAGCTCACACTCCAGACCTGCTTCCCAGAATCCCTTGTTCCAGAAAGTTCCCAAGAGGCCCTTCTCTCAGCCTCGACCCTGTGTGTCAGGTCCTCCTAGGTCCCAGGTGAGAGCAGGCAGGTGTTCCTGGGCTCCACAGGGCAGGGCCAGCACTGTTCTCGTCACTGCTGCCTGCCCACCTGGCTCCCTCCCTGACCGTCTGCGACCTCTGGACTTCCATGCTGTGGGGACAGCCAGGGAGGGCGGTGGGCCGCTGTGGTCTCCTTCCTGGTGTCCTGAGCCTGGCCTCACCGAGTCCACTGGCCTGGCCCTGAGCAGCCCTGAGCATCTGGGGTTGGGGTGGTGGTCTGGTGACCAGCAGAGGGGCCGAGGCTTGGAGACCGGCTGCCTCTGAATGGGCCTATTTCCTGCCTAGGGCCTTCGACAGCATGGTGACGTCTATGATGATCCAGGTGTGCTGAGCAGGACTGCCCTGAGGAGACGCCTGTGCCGAGCTGTGTAGAGACTTCCCTTTCTGTCATTTCTGTCCTGAGTGTTGAGACGTGCCCGGGGGCGGGGTGGGCTGGAGCGGGTGCCTCCCCACTAAAGGCCTTTTGAGGTGAGATGCGCTGGGTTCTTCTCTCTCAGCAGAGGGCTCTTGCTGAGTTCCCCTGTAGCACCAGGGGGGCTGTGGCCACAGCAGGAGGTGTAGGGAAGGGAGGGGGACAGGAGGTCCGCCTCTGCCTCTCACCTCTGGCTGGGGCCTCCTGTAGGCTGGACGGCCCAGAACCAGCCTCAAGGGTGGAGGCGGGGGTAACTGCCCACACCTTCAGGAGCGGGAAGGGCTCTGGGTGTGGGACTTCTCTCCCCTCCTGGACACCCACCTGGACTCTGCTGTGGGCACAATTCCCGACTTGCCCCTGCTTCCTGACCACAGAGCCTTCCCTCCTGCTCCTGCCAAGGTGGTCAGCAGAGGCGTCCAGGCTGCTGCTCCAGCCCCTGGCTTCCCTGAGACCTCTGCAGCCAGAGCCACATAGCAACCTAGCTGTGACAGGAGAGTGGCAGCACCTTCTCATCAGGTGGCGGGGGCTGTCTCTTGTCATTCAGTGGCTTGTCCGAGAGGTGAGGGTCTTTCTTTGGTACTGGGGGTTGAAGCCAGGGGCACTGTACCGTAGAGCCACATCCCAGCCCTTTTAAAAAGTTCTTATTTGGAGACAAGGTTGCACTAAGTTGTTGAGGGTCTCGCTCAGTTGCCCAGACTGGCCTAGAACTTGGGGTGCTGCTGCCTCAGCCTCCTGAGTTGCTGGGGTTCTTAGTGTGCCCTGTTCCCTGGCTGTTCTTTCTTTTTATTCTGGGGTACTGGAGGTTTAAGTGCCCTTAAAGCCAGTGGCTTCCTGAGTTGTGGCGCCCTCTGAGCCCTGCCCTCCTGCGCATTGTGTCAGGACTCCCAGGGCCCAGGAGGGCCTGGGACGGGTGTGTTGACGGCCCCTTGGCTGCAGTGGTGTGGAGCTGAGCTGCTTCTCCTGGTCTCTGTACTGACTCCCCTTCAGCAAGAATGGTGCTGATTTTTAAAAAATACACGAGAAGAAAGCCCCAGGCCCTGGTCACCTGGGGGAACAGGAAGACCTGGAGAGGCCTGGAGGTGCAGTGAGCAATGGCCAACTCTGACGTCCTGGCCCCAGGCTCTCCTGGGGCCTTTGGTCTTCAACGAGAGGCTTGTGTTTGGGAGGACAGGACGGACGGCAGCCCCTGGAGGCACCTGGTTGGCCTTCAGTGTTGGCTGTGGTCGGGACAAAACAAAGTGCATGTGCCCGACGCCCATTTTCCTCCCTTCCCAGCAGAACCCCAGCTTTGCTGGAAACTGTTGGCCAGAGAGACAGCAGTCCCTCGTTCTGGCTCAGCAGGACAGGTCGCCCAGGCCTCCGAGTGCTTGCTATTGCAAGAGAACCGCAGGTTGACAGCTGCAGGTTGCTTGAACTCAGGTTCAATCTGAGCCACGTCCCCAGCCCTATCCGGTATTTTATTTAGAGACAGGGTCTCACTGAGTTGCTTGGTGCCTCATCGTGGCTGAGGCTGGGTTTGAACTCACAATCTCCCCGCCTCAGCCTCCTGAGCTGCTGGGATTCCAGGCGGGTGGCACCACGCCTGACAGGAGAGACCATTTATAAGGGGGTTCAGCTGGCTATGGAGTATCCTTCACCATGTCCTATCTGGAACATTGGTGTGATGGCTGGAGCTCAGATAATCCTTCTAAGGGCATGAGGACAAGATTCCTGCTCTGAGGATGAGGATCAGTGCTCACTGGGCCTGGACTGTTTACCTTCAGCTTTTTTCATGTAAGAAAACAAAACAGACTCCTCTTGTTCAAGCTGCTGCGTGGGTGTTCTGTCAGGGTGGCCAGACCACTCTTGAGTGTGCTTCATGCCAGGGGTTTTCCCCGCGTTGTTAGGTGGCATCCCCATCTTAAGCTCTGGAAGACCAGAGTCAGGACGAGAGCTGCAGCAGGGTCCACTCACTCTGCCCTGAGGCCAGCCCTACCCAAGTGCCACCTGGCGCCCGGCTCCCCTCCCTCAGCCTCCCTGTTAGAGGCCCACCCTGTGTGGCCTGAGCCACGGCACCTCCACGCAGCGACACCTCCACACAGTGGCAGTGCTGGAAGCCACGCTGAGGGGGGTCGTCATCTCAGCCCCCGCCCCCAGCCTGCGCAGGTCCCCCAGGAGTGTGCTGCCTCATGGCCAGAAGACTGGTGGGCATCCAGACGGAAGGCAGCCCCTGGGCCCTGGGCAGGGAGGGTGGGAGGATGGGCGGGCCGGAGCCCCCCCACCTCCGAGCCTGCTGCAGCCCCTCCCCCAGTGGCCCAGCGGGCTCCTCTCTTGGCAGGACCTTGACCCTCAGCCTCTGGGGCCCCACCTTCTGGGTGGGCCTGCAGCCCTGAGTCCTCCCTGGAGCCAGATGCACCTCCCTCCAGGGCGGGCCGCTTGCAGACTGCACTGCCCATCGGGTGGAGCAGGCCAGCTGGACGTCTGACTCACCAGACACAGGGGCCTAAGGAGTCCCCCAGGTGGCCTTGAAGCAGCCCCTGCTCTGGCGATTCCTGGCCCCTTGACTGGGCGCGTCACTCCCCTCTCCCTCTGCCTGTCCTGTCTGGKGTTTCTGGGCTCAGTGTCGTGTGTGTGTCGTTGAATCACTGAGCCTAGGGTCGAAGGTCCAGGAGAACCTCAGCTGGAGGCTTTTTTTCCCYGTACCAGGGGTTGAACCCAGGGCGCTTTCCCACTTAGCCACAGCTCCAGCCACCCGCCCCCCTGCTTTTTAATTTTATTTTATTTAGAGACAGGGTCTAAGTTGCTTAGAGCCTCACTAAGTTGCTGAGGCTGGCTTTGAACTCTGATCCTTCTGCCTCGGCCTCCAGAGCCCTGGATCACAGGCCTGCGCTGCTGTGCCCAGCTTGTTTTTGTTTTGAGAGGTGGTCCGAGTTACCCAGGCTGCCTCACATGCCCCATCCTCCTGCCTCAGCCTCTTAAATAGCGGGTTACAGGTGTGCACGTCATGCTGCACAGAAAGAAAGTCTCTGAAAGTGTGTTGAAAGGTTTCTGGATGACTCAGGTGTGACGGCCACACCTGTGATCCCAGCTAGGACTCTGTCTCAAAAAATAAACAGGACAGGGATTGACCAGTGGTAAAGTGCCCAAGGCTTAATCCTGTTAAAAAAAGACTTTCCAGGGGCTGGAATGGAGTTGTGGCTCAGTGGTGGAGCGCTTTCCTGCCACGGGTGAGGCCATGGGTTCGATCCTCAGCACCACATAAAAACAAAAGTGGAGGCATTGTGTCCAYATACAACTAAAAACRACCAAAAAAAKAGAAAGGACTTTCCAAATGAGTTCACACTGACGGATTTTGGAGGTTGGGACGTGGCCCTGTTTGGGGCACCACTCCCCTTGCTGGAAAGGCCAACGCTGACCCAAGATTACGAGGGGACAGTGGGCATAGGTCCCCGGCAGCGAGAGCCTCTGCTGCTGGATGGAAGGCCCCGCTGGGGACGGAGGCAGACCCACTGCCTGGCCCTGCTCCCTGTGAGCTCTGGGCACAGAGGACCCAAGTGGCAGCTTTCTCAGGACACGGTGCCCAGGGGGTCTCCACTTCTGCTTCCCGACCTGACCAGGTGGACCTAGGCCAGGTGCCTCCAGGGGCCGAGGGGCCAGTGTGCCCTGGCCCTCAGCCACATCCCACGGCGCCCTCTGGAGTCCGCCAGGAGGAGCACACCCAGTGAACTAGGAGGCAGGAGACCTGTCGTCAGTGCTTTTAAAATATTCAGATTTAATATAATTTATGCTTTATTCTAAGACACATAGGTTTCTCTTTTTCTTTAAAACTATCGGTTGAAGAACCAAGTAATCCCATCCCAGCCCCAGGGATGCCTGCCCCTCCTCTTGCTCCCCACCCAGATCTCCAGAGCCCCAGGCTGCCACCCACTGGCTGACTGTGTAATTGTGGCAGTGGCCGTGGGGGCCAGACCACCCTGGTGGACGGTCCAGCCACACAGACCTGGCCATCTGGACCTGTATCCCCAGGGAAACTTGGCTATCCCCCTGACTGCACCCCTCTCAAAACGCTGTGCCTTCAATACGGCGAGAAGCGCGGAGAGGCTCTTCCATGGGCCCTGTGGGAACAGGGAGGCCCACGGTGAGGACACGGGGCCTCTTGAGAAGGTCCCCGGGAAGGAGGAGCCTCATCTGGTGGCTGCCATGTGTCCAGATGCCCATCTGCCAGGCAGCCCTGCCATGGACCATGGCCTCACACCAGGGTGCTGCTGAGCCTGGTGGGACCAAGGGGGCAGCTCTCCAGTCCGGCAGGGCCTGGCTCRGCACCCTGGGCAGCCGGGGCCAGGCCTCTGCCAGAGAACTGCTAGCAGCCCGAGTCCCGTCACCCGGTCTCCAGGCCAACACCACACAGCCCACTCACCAGTGCTGCCCGCGAGGTCTGAACCGGGACCGGCACTGGAGGTCACTGCACAGGAAGGCTGCGGCCCTGGAGGCCGAGGGCCCCCGCAGGCCCCCACGGTCTGTGGAGCTGATCCCTGGGAAGTTGGTCCTCTTGGGCAGCACCTGGCACCAGAGGCCACATGGGTTCCRGCCCTGTCCCTGCCCCCTCCCCTGGCCAGGGTGGCCTGGCAGCAGCCCTCAGGCTGGGCCCAGGGCTTGGGGCTCTGAGCTTCTCCGGATGCCCACGTAGGCCTACAGCTCCCTCTTGCACCTGGCTGCAGCCATGGTCACGTGAAGTGCCTGGTGCTCACCCTTGCAAAGGGAGGAGAGTGTCTCCTTCAGGCCACACCCAGAAGGTCCAGCTTTGGGAATGAGGGCCTGAGGCTCCTGCCATGCCCCGCCCTGGCCTGGCCCTGCCAGCTTGCCCCAGGCACACAGAGAGGGCTTGGCTGGGACAACTGTGTGTCCTTGGGTAGGTGGCCAGCCTCTCTGTGCCCGTTGGCTCCATTCCAAGGATTCGCGATAAGAAGTGCTTGGCACTGCAGTGCACTGGGTGGCCTAGAGGTGTGCAGGATGCCAGAGACAGGTACCTTGATGACCCGGCCCCGGAAGACGCTCTCGTCCAGCTCCATGGCAGCCTGGGCTGAGCTCTTGGTGGCAAACTCTATGTAGGCATAGCTGAGGGCAGCATGGGCACAGTGAGGACCCAGTCTTGCTGCCCACCCAGCCTTGCTGACCCCCCGGCCCTGCCCGAGGCCCTGCACCGACCCCTTGGGGTGTCCCGAGAACTTGTCGCACAGGATGGTGACGCGGTGGACCTGGCCGCAGTGGTGGAAGTGGGCCTCCAGCTCCCTGGCCGTGCCCCCGTAGTCCACCTGCTGTGGCAGGGCAGCACTGTGGGGCTGGGCTTGCACAGGCCCCGCCCCTCGGGGGTCTCCTTGGCTGAGGGCTTGGGAGGACCCCCAAGACTGGGCCCCTGGCCGGGGGTCATCGAGGCCCCAGTTCCCGGAGGACAGGAGGACAGGCTGAGAGGGGTCCCCCGCCCCCCTCGGTGCACTCAGGCTGGGCCCGGGGCCTTGGCTCAGGCGAGGGGCACAGGGCTTGTTAAAGGTGGTAGACCTCACCCGAAGGTCCCACGCGGTGGCACTGGGGCGTCCTCATGTGGGGCAGCAGGCCCATGTTGCCCCCAGGGAACAGACAGGCCCACCCCATCCTTCCTGGAGGCCAGATATGCCCCCTCCCTCCACCCCTCCATCTCCTGAGTCCCAGCCACAGAGGACACTAGTGTGACCACCTGCCCACCCTGGGGTCTGCGCCTCTGGGAGGGACGAGCCCTTGCTGCCCTCCCCACTCACGTTGCCCACGTAGATGGATCTGTGGTCAGCCTCCACCTTCTCCTGGGGGGTCCCAGGGAAGGGGCAGCCTGTGGAGACAAGGCCTCAGGACCAGAAGGCCCCCCACAGTGGGCACCTCCCACCCCTCAGGGAAGGTCGCCCTGCTCCGCGGGGGTCTTGGGGCTCCTACCTGTGGTCCCAGGGCTGCTTAGCAGCTGCCCAGTCCCTGTGCCGTCCTCTTCCCTGGTCCTGCCCTGGGTGCTGGGTGGCTCCGGCCGCTGCTTCGCCTGCTCCAGGGCCCATAGCTTCAGCTTSATGGCCTCCAGCTCTTGCAGGCCCTGTCCGCAGTCAACCTGGGAGGGGGACAGCCTGTGGGCCCTTCAGAGGGAGGGCAGCTGTGACCGGCCAGCCCTGGCAGAGGGTCACAGCCCCTTCGGGGCAAACCCTTCTCTGGACAGGATAAACCTCCTCTGAAGCCACCAGCTGGAGGGAAGCTCCTGGGCCCATGGACTCCACCCCGAGGCCTCCCCAGCTGGAGGCGCCTGGGCCCAGGCGGGTGGGCCCAGCCCTCGGCCACCCCGAAGGGTGCTACCTGGTCCCGCCCTGGGCTCTCRGCCGGGTTCCCCGGCTCCAGCAAGGACAGCAAGAAGCTGGCGTCTCTGTCGTCCTCCTCAGCTTCTCCCCACCGCTCCCCCTGCCCACCCCTACCCCCTGACTCCAGAGGGGTCTTCTCAGGCCTGCTGCAGGCCCCCCAGCCCTGGGCCTCGGGGTCCGAGGAGACCGCCTGGAGCCAGGCCTCAGTAGGCGGCGGGAAGAGAGCATGGCTCAGGAAGGGCCACATGGGCAGGTCGAGGGCTGGCCGGTCTCCTGCTGCGCACAGCCACACCCACCCCTGCCCCGGCCTGGCTTTAAGCCTGCCCCAGGACAGCTGATCCCACTTGCCGCTGAAGAAGGCCTCCCTGGAGGTCAAGGCGCAGGCCCGCCTACCGTCCTCCTCACCTGGCAGCGCCCGGGGCCTGCTGGAGAGCAGCACCTGAGCCCAATCTGGCCCAGCCTGGCCTGGGGGCTTCTGCAGGCTGCCACCCACCACCCTCACAGGCGTGCCTCCAGCAGCAGCCGAAGGTGGCCTGGCATGAGCAGGTCACCAACACACACTGCAGGAAGGGCAGCTTCTGGGGACAGTGGCTTGAGGGACTTGAGGGCCGGTCAGGCAGAGCAAGGCCCTGGAGGGTGGGCTAACCCAGGGTGGGGTCCTGGGCCCAGAGGAGAGGCAGGGACCTCTGTTGCAGACCTGCCTACCCCACTGGTTCCAGAGCCCCCCCACCCCACTTTGGGCCACATTTAGGCTGGAGCCCCTTGAAGTGAGTGGACCCGGGGGCCATATGGGCGGACTGAGTTGCCCTACTTTAACTCGTGCACTTCGGGTGGTCCTGGCCTCCACCAGCGGCTCCCCCCACACCTCACAAAGCCCTGGGCTGCAGCAGGCCTGTGTCCCTGTGTCCACCAGAGTGGCTGCTCTCGAGGCATGCTGTGGCCACAGCTCGCCCTGGCCTGATTCTGGTGGGACTCTGGCTGCTGCTTCCTGAGCTGCCCACGGAGGTGCCCCCCTAACCCAGACCCACAGCCCTGCTTCTCTGGGACCCCCCCAAGCTGGCGCCTGGGGTCTCTTCCCAGGGCATTCGGGTCAGGGCCGAGGGTGGAGCTGCACTGGGGACGGGGGCAGGGGGTGGGTATGCWGCCTGGGAAGCGGTCAGCCCAGCCTGCCCCTCCCTCACTGGCCCAGGCCTGTTCTCACCTCCAGAGGCTGACCCAAAGCCGTCCCACGTAGCCCCTAAGGGAAGGGTTCTCTGGGCAGCCACGGGCCCAGGAGAATGAAGATCTGGGGGACCACCTCCTGCCCTCACCTCCAGACACACTAGTGGGCAGGACCCCAGGGTCCTGGGCACTGCTTCCAGGAAGCTTCCCCAGCTGCTCCTCCCCACCCAGTGGACCCTGTGCCCAGGCTGCTCCCCTGTCCCGTGTCAGTTATTCATGGCAGGTGTCCCCTGGCAAGCCAGAGTGTCTTAGAGCGGTGTCCATGTCCATGCTGAGAATAGGCTGGCCACCCAAGGGCTGGACAAGGACACCCCACCATAGGCTGCATGCCTCCCCTGTTGTGTGGCCCAGATGCCCGTCCACTTCCATGCAGAAGGCAGGACACTGCAGGCCGTGTCCACACCAAGACGGCTGGATGTGGCCCAGCCCTGGTGGGACTCTGCTCGGAGCTCAGTGTCTGCAGCCGGAAGAATGTCAACCCTATGTATGCTACCCTGAGGCGTGGACACTCCAGCCGAGCGGGCTCCCACCAGCTGCCCGGCCTGGGACAGCTCGCCCACGCCAGCCTTTCAATACCCTCAGAATGCACATGTTCAAATCCYGGCTGAGTGTCAATTACTGACCCTTCCTCGAGGCCACCAGAGTGCCACAGCCTGGTGCCAGATTCTTGCCTAAGTCAGGACACAAGGTGGCCCCACCCTGGCTCAAGATGGGTGACCGTCCTGCCACATCCTCCTCTGATGGCCGACTCACACCCAGGCCCAGCAGGCACCCAGTCGGCTGTGGGCAGGTGGCAGCGGGGGCCTCAAAGTCCTCAGGGTCATCTCTGGGCCTGCCGTGTCTAGGCCTTCCTGAGGTATGGACCTCGAGGCTCCCCCCGACTTCCAGAGCTGCCCGCAGTGCCCTCTTGCCGCACCTCGCCAGCCTCCTGGGTGTCACAGTCCCCCGACGTCCACCCTCTGTCCTCGTGAAGGTGCCGCCTCCCTGCCTGCACAGAGAGCCCCACTCTGTGCCTGGTGCACGTGACCTGGGACCCAGGAGGGGCATAGCCGCCAGACAGACCCAGGACAGGTGGGGGAGCTGGGGCAGGCAGCAGGACCCAGGGACCGAGGGACGCAGAGCGGCGCGGCTTTTAGAGGAAACCCACACTCTCCGACCAGCAGCACCCGAGTCTGCGCCCCAGCAGCTGTGGCCACGCCCTGGCTGGGCCTGGTGCCGGGGTCAGGGGCTGCTGGCCTGGGCCGGAGGGGGCAGGTGTGGTGCCTGCCTCTTGGCAGCTAGAGAGCGGTGGCATTTGGTCCATGGTGGGTTCCCTCACCCTGGTCTGGGGGCTCTGCCGGAGCCCGCTGGATGGAAGGCCGCGAGATGGARTCTTCTGGAAGCCCTGGCCCTGTCTGTGGGGTGTCCAGCGCAGGCCCAACCTTCCCTTCCCCCCTCAGCACAACAGACCACCGTCCAGCCCTTGTTTCAGAGCAGCCCCGGTGGTGGAGCCWGGGAGGCAGGGCAGTGCAAGTGGACCCAGGGCTGGGAGGGGCTGGCAGGGGACCTGCGTCTGGCCCGAGGTCCCAGAGAATACCACCTGGTACCCAGTTCCACCACCTGGTACCCAGTACCACCACGCCAAGTCAGCAGGCAGCCCAGGAGGACTGAGCCTGGGCCGGCCGGSACCCAGCAGAGCAGATGGGAGCATCTCAGGGCTAGGGTCAGGCAAGGGACACATAAGTGCCCTTTCCCCTGGGCTCACCCTCTGYTCCTGGGCACCCTCCTCTGAGCACTGGCCCTGAAGAGAGGAGGGGAAAGGGCGCCCAGCCCAGCGGTGAGGCCTCGTGGGGGATGTGCTTACCCTGCCGGCAGGCGCCCAGCCCAGCGAGACTGGGCACCAGCTCCCAACACGTGCCCCGCGCCCTGCCACACTCTGCAGCAGGCCCGGGTGGGTCAGGGTGACCACCGAACCTCAGCCCAGTCTGCCCACCTGCCCCTGCAGTGAGGAGATGGCAGGCGGAGCACTGGGGGGCCGTGCTCACAGGCAGCGTCCCTGGGGCAGCCTGAGGGCCCAGGACAGGAGGATCCACAGAGTCCCTGGGCTCTGGGACACTGAGGAAGAGAGGACACTGCTCTGGATGCAGTGGAGGGCCCTCTGCCTGGGGGGACTACAGGACACAGGACAGGTATGGGGTGTGCGAGGCCATGGGCACCAGGACCAGAGTGGGTGGAGGGGGCCAGGGTGGGGTAGAGGATGGGCAGACGGACAGAGAGGGGCAAAGCCCAGGAGGGACAGGGATGGGCAGGAGYGGGTGGGTGGAGAGAGGAGGGTATGTGGATAGATGAACAGATGGGTGGTGGACAGGTGGGTGGATGGACAGATGGACATGGGGTAAAAGGTTGGATGGACAGAGGAGGGTGGACAGATGGATGTGTAGATGGATGGRCAGGTGGGCAGTGGTGGGTGGACAGGCAGGTGACCGAGTGGACCAGAGAGACAAGATGAGGAGTGCGTCAGTGGCCGCATCTGAGCTGGGCAGTGGGCAGAGCAGGGACAGATGAGGCCACAAACACAGCTGTGGTGTCAGCCTGAGGGTCCATTTGGAAAAACTCACACCAGGGAAATCTGGGGCCCAACCTAGTCCCTGTCCACTGTGGCTTGGGTGGCCCCCCTGCCCTCCAGCCCCAGCTGTCCCTGAGCTCAGGGACAGTGCTGATGGACGTGGGGACTAATGGGGGCCCACTCCTTGCCCTGCACAGCCCTGGCAGGCAGTGAGGCTGGGGTGTGGTCCAGCCTGTCCCACCCACCACCATGGCCACGCAAGGAATGGGGAGGCCCACGGGACGCAGCCAGGGTCCTGGGCAGGGCAAGGAGATGAGGGCGGGAGAGGCGAGGGAAGCACACCAAGGTCTTTCTAGAAGGGCAGGGGCAGCCTCTGACCCCCGTCTGCCTGTCCCTGGCCGGGCCTCGGGCTGGGATCTCTGGCGCCACCTGTCTGCTGTGATGGTCTCCCGGGCGAGCTTTGGCCCTGGCACAGGAGGTGAAGCTGCCATCTTGGTTGGGCGCACGGTGTTCATTGCCACCCATGAGGCAAGGGACACATAAGTGCCCTGTCCCCTTGGCCACCGCTCTGTGCTTGGTTCTGCTGCGGGGTCTTTGGCTGGGTGGATCCTGAACACAGTGGATCCTGAACACAGTGGCCCCAGTAATACTGACCCCAGGGGCCCTGCCTTCCTCACTGCTCCCCGACCTCAGGTGGCTCGGGAGCCCCTCAGCACAGCATCGCCATCTGCGCTTGGTCTTGGTTTCTGGGTCCCTGGTCAGGCTCCTTACACACGCAGGACTTGCTTTGGGCAAGTGTCATTTAACAGTCGGCCTGAGGGGCAGCTCTTCCCAGCTGGCCCCTGGAGGCTGGTCTGGCTGGGTGCAGCAGCTGGCCCCACCTCTCTGTCCTGCTGGTCCCCGGGAGCAGGAGGTGCTTACAGACAGAGCAAGGTAAAACCGCAGGTGAGCGCTCATCCACACCCGCCTGGGTCTGCTGCCCTGCCCCAGAGCTGCCCAGTCCTGGCCCGGGGACACGGGACCCAGGAGGGCTGCGCTGGTGCTCCTCACCCAGAGCCCACCTCGCCAGCCAGMAAGCCCCTCTTCCTCCCGGAACATGGTGTCCCCCCACCGAGCTTCGGCCTTTTGGGCAGTGGGCTGCTGGCCGGGCACCAGCAAGACGCAGCACTGGGGGCATAGGTGGGGAGGGAGGTGCCCCCCAGGGAGGCAGGGCTCTCTGTGGGCATGGGCACGGGCACCTCCTYTGCGCCTGAGCCGAGGCTGGTTGCGAGACCAGGCTGCGTGCCCTGCCATGGAAGCAGACCCAGGCCCTGGCTCTCTGAATCCCACAGAAAGCCATCCTCCCCCAGGGCAAGGGCCCGGAACCTTCCGGAGGACACAGGAGCCAGGCGGCTGTGCCAGGTTGGGTTCTGCAGGCCCTGGCTGGGACCATCTCCTAACTCAGAGCAGACTCCATGACAGCCGGGAACCMGCGCCGCAAC